ACGGCCTGGTTCATGGAGAGAGATATGGTCACGAAGGTAGACGGGTCCCAAACCGTTTAGGGCTTTATAGGTAAGTACCTGAACCTTGTATTGGGACTGGAAGATGAACGGCAGCCAATGGAGCTCCTTAAACAGGAGGGTTGACCTCTCCCTGTAAGTTGCCCAGTTATTAATCTGGCTGCCGACCGTTGTAATTTCCGGGCCATCTTCAAGGTAGCCCCACGTAGAGAGCATTGCAATAGTCCAGTCTAGAGGTAACTAAGGCATGGACCACCATGGTCAAGTCAGACTTCACGAGATATGGTCGCAGTTGGCGCACAAGTTTTAATTGTGCAAAGATTCTCCCGGCCACCACCGACACCTGCGCATCAAGCAACAGCGCTGAGTCCAGGAGAACCCCCAAACTGCGGACCTGTGACTTCAGGGGGAGTGCAACCCCATCCAGCACAGGTTGCCACCCAATTCCCCAATCAGACGGGCGCCTGACCCAGAGGACCTCTGTCTTGTCAGGATTGATCCTCAGCTTGTTCCTCCTCATCCAGATCATCACAGCAGCCAGACACTAGCCCAGTATCCTCGGGGCTTCCTTGGAGTCTGGTGGAAATGAGTAGTGGAGTTGGGTGTCATCTGTGCTTCTACTGGGTTCCTGCTACATGGCTGTAATACCGACTTCTCCCGCAAAAATTCCCCATGCGAGCTACATGCCTTGTAACCTTACTTTCCAGATAATCCTCATATATCTTGAATTTATAGCAATTTTGAAGTAAAACACTCCTTCCTATCCATATAAAATAAGCAGTATATATAATACCAAGAGACTCGGGACTTTATCACATGAAGCCACTGTCCACAACGATTGTGCAATCAGCAATAATGGCTACATGCCTGAATTACCAAACCTCTCTCCATTAGCACAACTGCACAGATTTGTCAGTCCATGGTCCTGCACAGATACTTCTGCATACCCTTATAACCCCATTTTCCCATACTTCTTCTGCTCTGTAATTTTTTATAATTGTTATTTTCAAAGCAATTTTACAGTTGCAACTATGGTATTTTTTTAAAAAAAACAACTACTACTACTGAAAAATGTAAAATTACTGACTGAGGGATGGGGGAGGACGGAGAGTGGGAAAGGAGGAGAATCCAACCCTTAACATTACTTCAGATTGGGTCCATCTCACAAGGAAGATGATGGGAACATTGTGAGGTTGGCAGCTATTGTGTGGTTTTGCTCATCAACAGTGGAGGACAGGCTAATCATGGAGTGAAGGCAGACCAGTTGTAGGATGCACATAGTGTTGTGTAATAGATAATGCTCCTGCTTCATTGCTGGTTTGCTAACTGTGTGTGATAAAATCCTGAATCTAAACAAACTTATCTGGATCTCTACACGGCTTAGGCCCCTTCTAAATTGCCATATAATCCAGGTTACCAAAGCAGACAATCCACTGCTTTGACCTGGATTGTATGACTCTACACTATAATCTAATTCAAAGCAGATAATCTGGATTTTAATATGGCAGTGTAGAAGGGGCCTTAGATGTGAAACCATTCATTTAACAAAATATTATAGGGACATTTGATTTTGTGGCTATGTGAGGTAGGTTATTGAATGGCTAAAATACCATTGTACCTAAGCCAAAACACTTTACCACAATTTTCTCATCCAGAGAAATTAAGAGAGATTAAAGCTGTAACCCTAAGAGAGCTTTGTGTGGAATTACACAAAACATGAGTTCATGTAATCTTTTCTCCTATGCATCAATATAAAATGGAAAACATTTTCACAGAAATCTAAAGTGAGACTATTGAGGAGAAGGGCTGCTATTGTAATTAAGAGTCCTGATTTCTCCTTATTTCATGCCTGTCTTTTCTTCCATTTTCTGTTACAGAAAGCACAGACACATACAGAGAGAGAGAAGCCCCACCTTTTGGTCCTGTCACTACAAATTTCTCATTAACATTGAAGAAGATAGTACACATTGATTACGCTAAGACATATAATGTGTTTAATCTATTATTTCCCCAGAAACACAGCAACCTTGTTGAGGCTATATTTATAAATTATCTGATGAATATTATTTATTCAATACCATTGTCAATTACATATTTTCCTTTACAAAATGACCAAAAAAAAAGAGAGAAACAATTTCTGACTTTCTTTCTATAGAATTGTAAGTAGAAACCAAGTGTTACATTTTGCATCACTGACAAGTTAACAACCATTAATTATCTTTTACTTCCTCACACTATTGTCAATGCAACCAATATTTTTTGAAATACTCAAAGGGGAGAAACAATTAGTGGAAGTTATTACATAATAATTAATATCTTTCAGGGAGCAGGTTGTTATATGAAGTGAAAGGAGTATACATAATTTATGTAACCTCAAGGAAGCAGACTCAGATGGAGGAAGACAAACCTCAGACCTCACTGCATTTGCAGCTATGGTATGGTTAAAGCTATCTTAAAATATATATTTAAAGCACATTTTAATGGAAACAGTTAGATATCAACATATACTGTATGTTGTGAAATTGCACTTCTCTGAGTCACGAGAACGGTCTCAGTGGACCAGATTCTAATGCAGTACTACACAAATGTAGTTCTGTAAACTGTAATTGATATACACTTTGGCATTTACCAGTGTGATGGTCAAAAAGATTAAATCTTTCGTCCATGATGGCAACCGAAAGTACTATAATTACCTTTTTGTTAACTCTTGCATGTTAGTCTCATTTTCAAAGAAGAGAATGAGCAATTAATATTAGAATTTGTTCTCCTTTTCAAACTTAAAATGTGATTTATTATATGATTGCATTTTCTTCTCCTCTGCATGGTAAACTGGCCCAGTCTCTCACACCAGATAGGGTTTAACAAGACTAATGGCACACTTTGATTGCCAGTGACCTCTAGACATTATTGGAAGACATGGTGAGACTTTATATACTGCATCTAGTCCATGGACTGAAAATCCCATGAAAAATAAGTTCGCATTTATTGTGCCTTGTAGTGATGGAGTCTGTGGGTTTATCCATCCTCTCTGTTCTTTTGGCTTCAGGCAGATGGACATTTGCCAGGCCTGACACTGTCAACACACAACCAGCTGGACATACATCACTTTGGATTTCTTGCCTTTCAGCAGAATTACCTTAGATTGGCAGAGAAGGCCTCATGCTGAGATTATTTTAAGAATCATTCCAAGCAGCCATTTCAGTCATCCTTCCTAAGAAAACAACTTGCTGGTCACCTTCTGCTCTGTAATACCAAATTATTTTTAAACACTTATAAAACCATGTTTTAAAAACTCTCTCTGTTACATCTTTGATATCTTGGGGAGTGAGTGTAGAAAACATATTTTTTTAAATTTTATGTGTAAGTATGAAATACATTTCCTGCTTTAACATCCCATACATGCCTACTCAGAAGTTATTTCCATTGAGCTCATTGAGGATAACTTCCAGGTAAGTGGTCCCAGGACTGCAGTACTGAAATATCAGCTCTCATACATTCTTCAAGATGGGACACAAAGTTTGAATAAGGACTGAAACTGAATAGGAAGGTATAAGGACTATGGGATTTTAAATAGCAAACCCACAAACTGACACCAAAAATGTAAAGACTGGGGATTATTTGAGTAACAAATCCCAACACTGTGCCACCTCTTGTAATGGAACGTGGCTTATTTAATTAAAATCAAAAGCTGTAAAAGCTGGAACAATCTTCTGGCCAAAACCCTTTTAAAAAGAACACTGGCTACCACCACACTTAATAGAAAGGTTTAGCCCTTGGCTTGACTTGAAGTATCTTTAGGCTAGAATGTGCTGGATTCGCACTCAGGCTCTGTATTCTGAAGTAACACTAAAGAGATTCCTTTTAAACACACGCTGCCACCATTTAACTTTGATTTCTATAAATTGCTTTGGAATTTCTCCCACAGAGGCACATGTGAGGCAGTGATTGTGAACAAAGAACAATGTTGTTTATTTGAAAGAACTTGAACAATACAGGCTTTAAGCTTAGCGGTTGCAAATATTGAATAAAAGTGTCTGGTTTCTTTAAATAAACGGTTCAGCACTTAGTTTCAATGACTCTCCTCTCTCCCTCCAGAAAACTACTGACAGGATTCCTCTCTGTCTAGTATTTCTAAAAACTCCACACAGAGAGTCCTTTCCTTCTGGATCTGTCTCTCCACTCCACCAGCTATCCTTCCCAATGGCTACAAATCTTCTCACTAACTAACTCTGCTGACTAACTGGCTAATTTCTGGATTCCCTGACTCTTCTCTTCGGTCATACACTCCCTTGCTCCTCTCTCCTTCACACCCAACCCAAACTCCTTCTTCTTTGATACACAGACCCTAACTAAGCTGTCAGGTTTTTAAAATGCACCCTTAAAGACAATTTTTCTTCTTTTCTCAAGTTAAGCTCCGCCCACTCTCTCCCAGCCAATTACAAACTCCCCTCATTTCCCTCCAAGTTGCTCCTAAGCACCGCTCTCTCCAGGAAATGAGATTCTAAGATGGATGCCCCCAGGTACCTTTCTAAAATGACTGGTGAACTTCCTGGACCTACTTTTCTGAGCTTTTCCTAGCCTAACAGGTAGGGAATTCATCACAGAAGGCAAACCAGCAAACAATAGCTTTGGCCAAAGGACTTGCCAAGTCCCAGCACTGGTTTCAATCCAACCAATTCACAACTCCAGTAAGACAGATAACATTTATCTCATGCATCAATTATTATTATTATTATTATTATTATTATTATTATTATTATTTCTAACCCACCCTCTCTCCACAGAGGGACTCAGGGTGGCTTACAAAAGACAAAAACCTTGAGACTCCATATGGCTGAGACAGGTGGGCTATAAATAGCGTAAAATAAATAAATAAAAATGGCAAATATTCAATACCACAAATAAGAAATACAAAACATACATTATTAAAACACAATTAGACAACTTTTCAGTATTTTATAAATTTTCATAATTATGCAGACAGCAACAAAGTGTGCATGAGAAATACCTAATGCATATTTAGTAATTGTTACTTGAGTTCTTTGTAACCAGCACTGAATGTACTCAGAGATTGTTTGTTGTTTATGAGGCTGTTCTCAGGCACTGTATGTAACCATAACTTCTTGCTGTAGCCCCTGGGCATGTAATAATGCACCTGCAGAATTTCTAGCATAGCACAAATGACAGGGCTCAGCAAAACCATACAGGTCATGTGAAGATGTCGGCTATTGTCAAGATGGAGTTTATCAGGCTCACTAAGCTAGGTCAGCATACAGCTGAATCTTTAATTCTTATTTCATGCCAACAGTACAAACTATGCATATTTACCTGAGAGGATGTTCTACTGAACTCAGTTGGAGTTGCTTTGAAATAAACATAATAACTTTTAATATTTACCACAGTTTCATAGAATGCGTGCAGTGTACATACATTACATTTTACTGCAGATTCCTTAGGCCAATTCTCAGAATTATGGCTGAATATTTGTCAGCTGCAGAAAGTAACCATGGAAAAGTTCACAAAATCTTGAAGCTGTAGTCAAATGTCACAGTTCTTCATGTGATGCATCCTTGCAGCTCTCAAAGACTATCATGTGGAACTGCCATTCTTTTGTTCTGTGCATTTCAGACATCTTCAATGGTGTCGCCAACTCAGGATGACCACAAGCCCTAAGATTTGGAGAACTGGAACCTTAGATCTAGAAATGGGCTCTTAGGGTGTCAAACCAGGGTGTAACCTGTTAAAGATTCAGAAACTTTTTTGTTCACTTATGCAAGGTTGTACATACTTATTTTCTTTTCACCAAACTGAATCGAAATAGAAATTATGTCTTGGTTGGTGGTCTTTGCTTCTTCCAGCATGCTGTCATTGGCCCACCTGTCTTTCCAAGAGATTTGCAGGATTTTTCGGAGGCAGTGCTGATGAACCCTGGCCTTTGAGCACTCTAACTGGAGGTCAGGTGTGAGCAGCAGTGCTGCAGAATTCGAAGAGGCACAAATAGAGGGTGAACGGGAGAAATGTGCCAATAGGAAGGCACATCAAGTCAACCGTGACCAGAACCACCTTCCATCTGGAAACTGATGTCCTCACTGTGGGAGAACATGCAGATCAAGAATAGGGCTCCACAGTCACCTATGGACCCATCGCCAAGACACTACATCTGGAAGGCCATCATCCTTGAGCTACAAGGGATCACCTATGTAAGTAATATAAAACAAGCAAGATAAACAGCTGCTTCCCAAATAATTTGCTGCACATTTGTAAGGAACACAATAGAAAGAAGGGGAAACAGTTTAGCTGGCTTCTCCAGCTACCCTGACATTTTTTAAGCATGTATCTATTCATTTCACCATTAAAATGAAAATAATAAGAGAAGTAGAAGTGTTCAAGTGCTCTCTAGAAAATCCAGAATATTTTTCTTTATTTGTATATGGCTTACCTGACTTTTTTTCATTTCACACATGTACACTGTTTAGCTTTAAATCAAAACATCACTGAAACATGTTGAACCGCTCTTCTTTTTTGTGGTGTAGGAATCTATCCCAATTATTTCCATCTCATTTATATGTTTGGTATCCAAATTTCTGTTAAAGAAGAAAAGCCCAGGAATTCTTCTACCGTACTTTGTTAATGGAGATATAGCTATACATAGATTGCTTGGTTAGCTAAATGTCAAAATATGCAGGGCTGATAGTATGAAACAATGGGATCACTACAGTGTCCTGTTGGATATGTCATAATGTGTCGGCCACCTATGAACCAAAGTATGTCAGCACAACTCCAGTCTGATGATGCTATAGCAACTTGCTATAATGGGATTAAAATCAATAGGCAACACAGACCAGTTCCCTGCTGTTCCTTCAGAAGGATCTTCTGTAGTTAAACTGATGGAAGCTGTTTTGAATGATTTAACAGACAGGATAGTCATTAGATTCAGAATGTAAAACTGAATAAATATTATCCAGAAAGATAGATAAACCTGTAACATTATGCATATTCCCTTGATTTTTATTTTGTTCTGCCATTTCAATAATCAAAATTGTTAACGATAATATACAAGTGCAAAAGTTTTGAATCACACTCCTCAGTCTATTCCACCCAGATAGCCCACTTGCAAGAACAATTGATAAAGGTTGCAATTCATCTTCAGGAAATTATTTTCTCCCAGACTTCACAGCTTATGAAATACTGCCCATAGATAACTCAGAGATGTTTACCCAATCACTTATCTCAAAATGACAGCATCTTGTCTCACTTCAGTATCATATTTGTTTATGTGGTCAATGGTTATGAGGTTAACAGCAAGGAAAGAAAACCCCAGAAAGCAAGAGTTCTTAACATATCTCTCTCTCTCTCTCTCTCTCTCTCTCCCTCTCCCTCTCTCTCTCTCTAACATACACACACATCCCATGCACTGGTTATTGCCTATATAGCCTTAAATGATTCAGGCTGTGATTATTTGAAAATCCACATCTCTGTATACAGACCACCACAAGCACTGCAGTCAGTGGAGGAGGTCCTGCTCTTGGTCCCATCCCCATCTCATGCATGGTTGGTGGGAACAAGAGAGAGGGCCTTCTCCGAGATCACTCCCCACCTCTGGAACTCCATCCCTAAAGAATTAAAAATGGCCCCCTCTCTCCCCTCCTTTAAAAAGCTCCTGAAAACTCATCTATATACTCTAGCTTATGGAGAGGAGGACTGATTACACCTCGATATATATCCCTGCCGAAGTGCTGAATACCTACCTTTGCCTAATTAACTTATATCACCTCAGCTCTAATAATCATTTTAATTGAACTTTTTAAGTGCTTTTAAGCGCTTATTATGTTGCAAAGTGTGGGTTGTTCAATGCTATGTTAATTTATGTTGTTATATTACTTCTATTGATTTGCTATATGGTGTTCTTGGATTTTGGCATTGAATGTTTGACACTGTGTTTTTTACTGGAAGCAACCCTGAGTTCCCTCTGGGAGATCGAGTAGGTTAAAATAAAGTTGTTGTTGTTGTTGTTGTTGTTGTTGTTGTTATTTTACAAATCAAGACCAGCACCTTTTGTTTAGCTTAAAAAGAAACTGATTAAAAGAGTGCATCTATACTGTAGAATTAATGCAGTTTGACTAGTTTAACTACCATGACTCAATGCTTAGGAATGCTGGGATTTGCAGTTTGGTGAGGCACAAGCACTCTGGCTGAGAAGGCTAAAGACCTTGTAAAACTACAACTCCCATGATTCCATAACACTGAGACATGGCAGTGATGTCAAACTGTATTAATTCTACAGTGCAGATGTACCACTGGTGTCACTAAGGCATGGACAAAACAATGCCGCAGTCAAAGCATATCAGTTAATTAAACTGGTAAAACACAGTCTTGACCACTGTTTTAAAAAATGAATATGCTATTGCAATGACATATCCAGGAGGACCCTCAAACTGTGAAGCCCATTTTCTATCAAATTAAAAACAAGTATGCTAATTTTAAATATCTTTTTAATGACTGGAAAATGAAAGAGCAATATTAACAAACAAAACAAAACTGTGATCATTAGGCTTGGCAGAAAGTCAAAAAGAGGAGCAGTCTGTGCAGGCGAAAGAAAGGCCTCTCAACAGTGAATTCAAGAGATAACGGCATGTCTCATTTCTCTATTCCACAGTGAGAAAGACCCCTGCAGCACTTTAGCTCCTCTCAAGCCTGCACTTTCCCGACAGCAGCCCATGGCCTTCATCAAGCCCCTGTTTCTGTGTTCTTGTGCCTACTGCTATTTTGCCACAAGAGCAAAAACAGCTAGTGCCAAGTAAAACTGGTTATTTAAAAGGGGCCAGCATCAAACAACAACAAAAAAAAACCCCACACAGTCTTCTTTTTTCAATGCCTGCTTGATGCGGGACTGCCTTTTGCTCTGTCTCCTCTCTTTTTTTTTGGTGTTGCTTGAAATTTTGGCTTGCTCTGAAGTAGGCCATAGAACATGATGTCTCAAACATTGCTGGATGGAGCCCTATTAGGAGAAATGCCCCCTTTTTACATATGGACCCACGGAAGCTAATTTATGGCTTCTTTGGGGGTCCATGGGCTACAGATTAAGAACTTCTAATATATGAGAAACTACTGATCTACACGAAAATGATTTGAAAAGAAACGTCAATAACATTTTGATTTTGTGTGTCATTAGATCCAGATAAAGTGCTGAACCAATATCTGGGCACATTAATGAAATAGATGTGGGCCAATAAGATGAAATTGTAAAAGCACACTTATAAAATAATTTGCAAGTGTGCTTTCTACCATTGACCAAGATAACTAGGTATACCAGCTACTATCAGACTTGGGTGTTGACAGCATGGTTTCAGTCTATGTTCTGGTAAGTGGTTCAGTGCATTCATTGAACATGGGACAAATTTTAAAGATAGTTCAGAATGTTCATGTAGCAAAATAAATGATACCAATGTACTGGCTGGAAGCAGATATTTGGAATATATCATACCAGAATTGTATCAAATTCACTGGTTCCTGGTCCACACCTGGATTCATTTCAAACTTCTGACTTTAGTAACCTGTAAACTACTTCATGGCTAGTGACAGGAATTTCTAAAGCACTGCTTCTTTCCATGTATTCCTATCCATTCTCCACAATTATCCCTGACAACCCTTCTATGTGACCCTGTATCTTTTTGTGAGGCAATGGAAGCCCCCCCCCCCCCCACCACCACCACCACTGCCATTGTGTAATGCCCTTACTAGAGATATCAACTTAGTGGTGATTTTGTTGACTTTTCAAATCCACATAAAGTCCTTTTTATTATCTCGAGCCTTTCAGCTTACGCAATGTTTTACTTCCAGTTCTGTTTTATAGTTGTATGTATTGCAATACACTTCTTTTCTCAACATGCCTAGAAGCTATTCCAGGTGAAACCTAATAAACTTGTATCACCTAAGCCTCACTTCAGACTCTGCAGACTGTTTCTCCATTATATCTCAAGATGTGTAGACATTGACATCCAGTCTTCCTCCTTTTTGCCTTTCTTGCTTTTTTGTTGAAACCTCATGAAGAAAGTTGAAGATCTTGAAAGTTTGCACAAAAGCTTCTGTTCTTTTCTTTTTAAAGTATTATTACAAAATGGATTTTGGATATTTTGCAATAGCCAACATGGCTATTGCTGTTTTGCTTCCATGGGTTCATATTTTTAAATTCTCAAACATTCTGCCTTTGATACTTATTATCATATTTTGCAGCTGCTTGTATCTTGCTTGTATTTAATGCATTGTATCTTTAAATCATATTGTATGTTTCATTTTTGTTATGTACATTCACCTGAGAACTTCAACAACAGGATGGAATAAATTTCAAGTAAACACATAAGCCTATGTCTGTGGGCTTTAGGGTTCACAATTTGAGTTCACCATCACACATAAAAATCCTTCCACATAGAAAATAAGAAATCAAGAGGTCATGTTACTTCATTTGAACAGCATTATAATGGCCAGTGTAGAGATATGTAATGCAGATTGAACCACATTGAACTGAATTATATGAATCTACACTGTCATATAATCCAGTTCAATGCAGTTAATCTGCATTCTAAAACTTGATTATATGGCAGTGCAGATGGGGCCTACATGAACAACAACAACAACAAAAACCCTGGGCTCAAATTCAGTGCTGGTTATCTGCACAATATTTTATTTATTTATTTATTTAATTGCAACATTTATATGGTGCCCTTCTCACCCCGAAGG